CCTTAAAGATTTGTAGTGAGTTTCGCACTTCACTTTATGATCCGCTTGCAACTTACATTTAAAGGCTTTTACAAATGGCTTATTCAGATTTTCTATGTATAATAACTTCCAATGAAAAACAACACGTTGTGATACTATTGACTATTTGTAAGCATAACATGACCGTCAAACTGCCTATAGCATCAGGTCTCAAATTCACTCTCTACAGAATATGTAGGTTGTTCTTAAAGTGTTAGCGCACATAAGCACCAAACCGTATGACACATACACAAATTATATGGTCAATTTACTTTACAGTATATTCTGTGAAGCGCTTTGAGACATCTCAACGATGTGATAAGGACCTATATCAAATTCAAGGATTATTATTATTACACAGAAAGTATACCACATCAATATGTAAGCTGAACCAGTAATTTAAAAAATGCAAATAATTGCTGGCTTTTTATTTTAAAAGTGTGTGCATATGTGAATTTTTAATCAAGCAACATTTTTCGTTGTCTCTTGGTCAGTAAAAAAAGTTTTGCTCACACAATATAATCTCCACAATGTGATAAGGTGCTATATTAAATGCAAAGATTATTATACGGTCATTAATTCAACTTTCTTAAAAAAACAGCATCATGATATAATCAAGTGACAACCAAGCAATTGGAAGGGATTTGATGTACGCTTAAACACAGCCTGGGGTAAAGTGAGGTTATAAATATAAGATTCTGTTTATGTTAGCCAACTCAGAGGTCTAAAAGCCGACTCAAAGTGTCTCACCAATTGAGCTACGTGTTAGGTTTGAATGCCAGTGATAAGATTCAAACAATATACATCTCTAGCACCAGTGGCTCTTGGATCTATTGTTTGTCATGCTTGCATTGTGCTTTATTTGAAATCCCAATGCTACTTTTCTGGGTTACCTTAATTTTGCTGAGATTATATTTGTACTATGAACTGTCAGGATTAATTTTATAGGAACTATTAAATGGTTAAAGCTATGGTTTTACCTTCTTTTGCTTGAAACTCGCCCGCTGTGTCTTTTGAATGGACCATATGCTATGGCACTGGAAAATTCTGTACAGACAGCAGTGTGTCTTGTCAGATGTGTGCAGCTGAGTAAAATATTGTTTTCAAAGTTCAGCTATAATAGTTGCCTGCTGTGAAGATCTCTGCATAAATAAGGGGAACTTTTTCTAGCAAACAATACTAGCGGTGATAAGAGTGCTGAGTTTATAGAGGGGCGATGTGATGGTCTGTGACTTGCGGCACAGCTAATTCTTATTTATTGGCTTCATTACATTAACATCGTGTATTTACAATGGAAATCACCTACGTTACCCCACTGATATGAACAACTAATTAATTTGGTCAGTTGTTTGAGCTCTTGTCCACTTCAACATATATTGCATAGTACAGTAACACAATCTCACTGATGAGGTCAATCCCTCAGTTTGTTTGTTGGCCTTATTAGTGAGTTTCTACCATATTTCAGCTTTGTGTCAGTTATCTTTTGTAAACTGTTGTTAAATTCAGCACCACATTTTACAGTTTGCATGAAACTTGTTATTTAAAAGAAAAAGAAAACATTAACTTGGTCCAATTAAAGGAGACCCAGAGAATTGTAAGACAGTCAGAATCCATTCAACACATGTGTTTTCCACATTGGCGTTTGCTTCTTAGAAGCCAGTCATCCTAATCCCAAATATCATTTTTCCCTATCCCTTCCAATATTGTTCCTTGAACCTGTTTGTCTAATTTGTTTTCAAATACCCCTTAAAAACAAAAGCCACTGCATTCAATAGACATGGCTGCAAACTAGGCACTACATAAGTGAGCATTATTTTTCTCCCCCTTGCCTCACACTGGGCTGGTGTAAAATTGTGGCTAGCTCTCAACTTACATTATGATGGAAAGAATATATGGATCCATTCAATAAAAAGAAGATGCATTTGTATATGAACAACATGCACAGAAGGTCGATCAGCATCTGAAATAAAACAATAGATTATGGTGTGACCCAAGAAAGATCTGATAAAACTTTAAACTTTCGCTTTCCAGTGCTGGCTGACATGTTGTGAAATGCCAGCATTTTCTGTTCTTTTTATTCCTTGTTTACTTCACTTATTTCTTACAATGAAGGGAAAGTTTATAAAATAGTGTAAATGTAGTTTTACATTATTTCTGCTTTTTTCTTGTCACTGTCAAGTTACCAATTGTTTTTAAAGACTGCTTCACAAAAGGCGATTAGTGGAAAAGATTGTCTCAGTATTGGGAGATTATTACCGCTTGTTAAAATATCAACTACACTAGAACAACCATGCCCTTTATGTGCATATATGAAAGTTTCATTTTGCTAACCTGTGCCTCCAGTGATTTGTACACATACCATTGTTTACACTTATTTTTAGTGAAAAATTACCTGCCCTGTATGCAATCATTTAAAGAGATAGTGGATTTAAATTAGCTATTTTGTACACAACACTGGGTTATTATCTTCATGGGAAAGGCCAGTGGGGAGTGAAACACTTTCCATTTTGAGCAACAATTTTCAGCACCAAGACTTTCTAGCTCTCAGATGCAAAGTAAAACTCCCTTTGGTTTGCTCCAGCAAGATAACTGCCACCTTTATGTGGTGAATACAAAATTATTGAAACTCTGCTGAATTGGAGGCAATTCCAATTGCTGAAACTGCCTAAATCTATTTCATGTACGTCTTACGGGCACAAGACCTTTGTCTTGGTGTTGGGAATCACTCAGACCTACCCACTGCACCAACTAATCCTGTTCAAATACTCTCTCAATTCATGTCACTTTTCTTCAGCCCTCACAAGCAATGAATTTGCTTGAGAATTAACTTCAAAAGGATACAACCATTAAGTAGGTTAACTCCACTTAGTTTATCTGGTTGTGTTTTCAAATGTTTTTCATCTCTGAGGCAAGCGTTTGAATTCAGGCTAGAGTGCAGATGAAAGTCACTAAAGCTACTTTACTCTGCCCAAACTTCACTTGTTAGATGCTTGCTGGAGCAAGAGCTGTACATGCAGAACCGCACTGCTGATTCAGATCACAGCTATGGGTCCTTGTGGTTTTCACATTAGCACTGAGGTTTGTGCAGATCATGTTTGATAGGCCAACCAATTGGCTTAGCATTAGCTGCATGAATGTTATTGCCCAATATGGTAGGAATGTAACCCTCCTTGCAACAAACATACAAACATGTGGGAATGGATTAGTTGAAATCAGTTACAACAACAACAAAATTACATTTGTACAGTGCCTGTCACATCGGGAGGACGTTCCAAGGCACTGGACAGTCAGTGTTTCGGACCCAAGCTGGGGGTCGGGATCGGGGAGGGTGGAGGGCAGTGGGGGAAGGAGGATGATCGAAGGCACAGTCGAAGAGGGTCTAGAGGTAGGTCTTGAAATGGGTCTTGGAAGGAGGCAAGGGAGGGGGAGAGGTGGAAGGATTGCAGGATGGAGTTCCAGAGGATGGGGGTAGAGTGGCTGAAGGCTCGTCCACCAAGGGTGGGCCAGGCAAGGCTCGATCCCGCTGAGCAGGTAGGTTGGTAGGGGGTTAGGAGGTCACAAAGGTTGGGGAGTAAGGCTATGGAGGTCTTTGAAGGTGAGGACCAGGATCTTGAACTCTATGAACTGATGGGAAACCAGTGGAGTTGGGCAAGGATAGGGAGATAAGGTCAAGGGATTATCATCAGAATTGTGGAGTAAGGAAACTTTCCCAACGTTTCACCCTTCTGGGAATCAAACCCAGGTCTCTCGCTTGCAAGGCAAGTGCTCTAACCACAGAGCTACAGGACTCTACAGCTAGGATCTGAACCATTCAAGGACACAACCATGAAGGTTGAGGTGAGAAACCCAATCGGAGGGGTTCGTGAAGGGAGAGGCAGGAGAGGAAGGAGCGAAACTGAGAAGCAACGACTCATTCCAGGACCCTGGAAAGAAAAGGGAGGTTGGAGATGGGGTAGTAGTTTGAGAGCAGGGATGCGTCCAGGGACTGGGAAAGTAATTAACATGGCTGGCCCTTCATGGAGATTAACGCACAGCCAAATTTAGGATGGGAAAGAAAACATACTAACACGCGAAAGGGAAAAAATGTTGAACTGTTCTACTTGATGTGACTCCAAATGGGGTTCAGTTTGGCTTAACTGGTAGTACTCTTACCTTTCATTAAAATGATGGGGTTTAAAACCTGAAGCCGGGACAGTAACTCATAATCTAGGCTGAAACTCCATTGTAGTACAGCACAAAAGGGAGCCCTACATTGTTGAATGTGCTATCCTTTGGAAGACTTTACACCAAGATTTTAAAATCATCTGATGGTTCAGATAAGATGGACTTTAAAGACCATGTGCTCCTATTTCAAAGAGCAGTACATGCTCCTAGTCCAATCTGTTTCGCCCACAAAAGTCACTATATGTTACAGTGTATCCTGTGAAGCTCTTTGAGACGTCTCCATGACGTGATAAGGCGCTATATCAAATGTAAGGATTATTATAATAATCATTGCATTTGATATAGCACTTTTCATGTCTTCTATTATTATTATTATTTATCACTCACCCAAATTCACCAAAACCACATAATGACGTTATTCATTTCATTGTTGTCTGTGGAACAAATTAGATGCCAGATTTGCTTTCAAAAGATGTTAATACACTTTAGAGTAGCTCACGGTGTGAAGCATTATGAAATAGATGTTCAACATGATTTCTAAGCATTTCTATCAAATGCAAGAATTATTGTTATTCTTTAATTCTTTAAGGTCTATTGTCCAACTAAACCTCAGGGCCAGAACCAAAGTGTCTCATACCTTCAAAGCAGCTTGTTCTCTATATGCATCACATTGATGCTCGCATCTTCAATACATTAACGTTCTGGATTTTTCTAAAATTCTGTGTGTTTCTTGTACCTTAAACAAACTGCAACTAAATAAAAGAAGCCTAATCAAACTATTTCGTCCAAAATGGTTTACAGAAAAGAGTCATTAATAGTTCATTAACTAAAATAATTTATTGTTAGTGATGCATTGGGCCCCTGCCTTCAGATAATAGCAAACATCAAGTTTTTAAAATAAAATTGAAACCTTTAGGTTTTGTGATAAGACATTTGAAAGCATTGTTGCACTTTTGTCAAAAGAAATCTCTCATCAGGCTCTTTATGATCTAACTGTATCAGGTATATGAACCAAGTGGTACTCTTCCCCATGCCTCCAGAAGAGTTTGAGTTGAGCGCTGGGAAAGGAAGTGAGGCACTCTTGATAGATGGAAATAGGTCAAAAAGCAATGTAATTATTGTAAGTTGCGATCATAAGATTTCAAATTAACTATTACAGTATATATATTTGGCAAAAAATGTTCAGGACTTCCAGTATTTTCAACTGGGCTCTTTTCTGTAGATTGACAGACTCTAGGATTCTCTTTAATGAGAACTGTTAAGAGTGCTCTGTTGATCAACAATTAGATTTGCTGAACATCCTTCCTCTAAAACTCAGACACCAAAAAGAATCCGGAGGTCCGCCAGTGTGAGCTTAGTGAAGGATTCTCCAGTCCCTGATAACACCTTCTTTGCCAGTTCTTTTTTCTTCTCTTGCAGTTCAAAAATTTTGTCTTCGACAGTTCCCTCGCACACAAACCTGGGGAGAAAGAAAATTAAAATGATTGGCCATTTTTTATTGGGAGCAAAGACACTCATAGGAAAATACCTTTTGCCACTTTCCATGGTTTTATTGCATTAGGTGTTTCACTCGATCAAGACACAAAAGTGAACCCGACGGTTTGATATTAGTAGTAACTGCGTAGTGCAACAATATAAAGTGTATGTGCTATCCAGGATGTTACTGATAGTTTCATGAAATAAAAGAAAGCATGGTTTGATCTCTGGTCTGCAAAGTTAATCCATGAGGAGAAAAATTATAGCACCTTTAATCAAATATTTTCTCATTTGTTCATCTAGTACCTGTGCACGGTGACGTTCTTTTGTTGCCCTACGCGGTAAATTCGATCGGAGGCCTGCTCCTCCAGCGCTGGGTTCCTGAAAAGATAATTAGGTGACATGACACGATGTGGGATTATTTTGTTCATCTCAAATAATCCTAGAAATTAAACCATTTGAATAAGGTAACAATTTATAGATAGCAGTATGTAACAATCCACAATTTAGCGTCCTTCTCTCCAATGTCAGATTGTAAAACAGTCTGCAATAATGATGATCATTGCTCTTGCTGATCTTTAACCTTACCAGTGCATGTCTAATAAGAAGAGGTGGTTTCCTCCAATCAAATTCAAACCCACACCCCCAGCACACAGAGAGACCAGCATGACCTATGGAGTAAGAGAGACAAAGCGATCATCATGGAGCCTCTTTCAGGTCAAGTCTTCAAAACATCCTATTACTTGGTACCACATAAATAAAGGACACCTCTCCTCCATGTAACCAAGCACCAGACACATAAACAACACTGATTTAACTGTGAACCTACAATATACGTTTTTAATAAGAATCACCGACAGCAGTTGAGCCCTTCCACTCTCTGCTTCACATTAACCATTGCCCAACCTAGTACATTCAACGTGCCTAACCCCTCACACTTTTCTGAACAAAAACAAGGTCAGTATTGCACCTGAATAGTTTTCGGGTTAGTGTTGAATTCCTCCACAAAATCCATGCGCCGTTTAGGAGTCACAGAGCCATCTATGGTTACATAGCTCAGCTTGATCCGATCCAAGTGTTCTGCCACTACACGCAGCATGCTGGTCCATTGAGAGACCACCACACTGGGAAAGGAAAACATACAGATTGGTAAGTACAGACTCATTCAACTTGTTAGGACACAAAGAAGCCTCAATAATGAAGGGACTGAGGCAAAGCTCAGTCAGGCAGCACAAGGCAATACAATATAGTTACAGATTGCAGATCAACACCTCTACAATCACACTGACAGATGAGGAATATATAAATTCTGAATCCATATATCATTTATTGTATTAGAAATCATCTGAGTATTTAAACCTAACATGATGTTGTCTCGACTATTTACCTTTTCTGTGGCTCTCGGCTGCTGCTGATTGCCTTTAGCTTTGTCAACAGTGCGGTGATCTGTCAACAGCCAGAACAGAAGGTCAAATACAGACTTAATTATTTCAAATACCACAAATAAAATTATTCCAACTAGCACTCTGCATTTGGACATTGGAGCACAAAAGTATGGAGTTCAGTAAAACAAATCTGAACTCTATACCTTTGTTCTCTCACTGGTTTGTTCAAAAAGTTCAGCTTCGAATCTAGTACCATTAACTTGAACTGGAATTGATAGTTTTATTTTATTGATTGAATCAATCTGTAAGTATCCTTTAAGATTTTATGCTCAAATTGTACAACTATTTCAGAGTAAATTTCCCTGCATATAAAATCGGTCTTTATTTTTGCAATTTTTTGTACGTATTGTAACTTTTCCCCTTATTTAAATGCCTTCTTAGACTGACCTTTTACATGTCCAACAAAAATTTAAGCAAAGTTGCTATCAAAATTAAAAGTGGTACAAATTACAATTTGAGGATTACTTATCAGGTCCAGGAACACATGCAAACTGCTGTTTCAATGGAGGTTCTGGTGTAAAATAAAACTGAACTCCATACCTTTGTGCTCTCCCTGGTTTGTTCAAAAAGTTCAGCTTCGAAGCTAGTACCATTCAAAAGGACCATTGATTTGGGCTCGGAAGTTGTGACCTCTGTCAATGACATTGCATTCATCTGTTCCTCCAGGGACAGGCTGATACCCTCAGATTCCATTTCTGTTTGCTCGAGAGTCTGAAATTCATGAAAAACACTATTGATAAGAACAAAACACTGAAAACATCAGATATAAATTGTTAGGTGCGGTTGTAACAGAGCCTAAAATGTGATTTTCCACATCAGTGGTGACAAAATGTGACAAACTCATTATCCACTGAGTTTCGGAACTCTGTCCTTCCCCCCCACCCAGACCTGAACTCTTGGGGGTTAGCGGCAGATAATGTAGCGGGTAACAAGGTGGCAAGTTAGTAGCCTGAGTTCAATTTTCAGGATCTGCAAATATTAACATTAAGCTACAAAGAAGATAAACCATTCTCTTACTATCACCATAAAGGGTTTATTCTCAAGTCACTGATACCAAGAATCGTTCCTACCCTTCCAATCCGGTGCCCACAGCACGGAAACGGCCCTGGTCAAAGGCACTAATGACATTCTGAACATCTGTGATCAGGGCTCCCTCTGCCTCCTTGTCCTTCTCGACCTCTCTGCCGCCTTCAACATTGTCGATCGCTCTATCCTCATTCACCGCCTCTCCTCTTTACTTAATCTTTGCGGACCCGCCCTTGCCTGGTTCGATTCCTATCTCTCTCGCTCTCCACTTTGTTGCCTCTAATGGTTTCTACTCCAGCCCCCGTCTGTCACGTCTGGCATCCCCCAGGGCTCTGTCCTTGGCCCTCTCCTCTTTAATATCTACATGCTCCCCCTTGGTGACATCATCCGCAGACATGGAGTCAACTTCCATATGTATGACACCTAACTCTATCTTTCTGCCTCCACCCTCAACTCCAGGACCACTGACACACGACTGCCTGTTGGACATCAAGTTCTGGATGAGAGCAAATTTCCTAGTTGAATGTGAACAAGACTGAGGCCCTCCTGATTGGCTCGCGCCAGCGCCTCAGCACCTCAGGCTCTGGCAGCATCAACCTCCATGGTTGCACACTACAACTCACCAAACCAGTCAGGAACCTGGGTGTCTTATTCGACACTCAACTGTCTTTTCTTCCCCACACCCAAGCCATGACCCGCTCTGCCTTCCCTCACCTCCATAACATCGCCCGACTCCGCCACTACCTCACCCCTCAGGCCACGGAAACTCTTGTTCATGCCTTGATCACTTCCAGGCTCGACTATGCAAACGTCCTGCTTGTCGGCCTTCCCAACTCCTCCCTCCACAGGCTGCAGATAATCCAGAACTCTGCAGCCCGTGTCCTCTCCCGCACCAAACTCCGTGACCCCATCTGCCCCATTCTCGCCCGACTCCATTGGCTCCCTATACTTCAGAGGATCCAGTTCAAGATCCTGGTCCTCACCTACAAAGCCCTCCATGGCCTCGCCCCACCCTACCTCTGTGACCTCCTAACCCCCTACCAACCCGCCCGCTCCCTCCACTCAGCCGGCTCTGGCCTGCTCCACTTCCCCCGAACCACCCGTCCCACCATTGGCCTTTAGCCACTCTGCCCCCAACCTCTGGAATTCCATCCCCTAATCACTCCACCTAACCCCCTCCTTAGCCTCCTTCAAGTCCCGCCTCAAGACCTTCCTCTTCGACCATGCCATCGGCCACCGCCCTCCCCCTCCCCTCCTTTCTCCCCCTGACTCCAGCTCAGGTCTGAAATGTTGTACGCTGTCCAGCGCCTTGGGAAGTCGTGAAAGGAGCTATACAAATGTAATCTTGTTGTTACCAAAGCCACCTGAGCTTTATTACTGTGGGTGATCAGCAAAAACAGCATTAAGTCCTCTACTGTAACTCCTGGAGCAAAGGCCATATGTGGTCACAAAGTACTGTAATCTGAGAAATGCTTGTCTTTTAATTTTATTCTTTCCCTCAATTGTTCGTGAACCAAACCATTAAATATTTTCATTGAAATTGGCGTTTGTGTAAGAAATGTTATTAATTCTGAGTGTTTTTAATGTTGTGTTCAGGCTATCAAGAGCATAATGATTTCTAACCATCTTCAGCAGGGAGAGATGACAACAGCACTGCCGAAGCCTCAGCAGTAAGGAAAGGATATGGACAGTGCTCGAGCTGTGAGAAGCCTTCTGGCTTACAAAATGACCAGCGGCAGTCGGCTCAACTCCAAACTCCTGGGCCACTGATTCAAACAAGGGAAATAATGGTTACATATAAAACCTCTGTACTAGTGCACATGCTCAGCTACAGTGAAATTAACTGGGCATTCTTAAAACATGCACAATTAATGCCACCGCGTATATAAAGTATCGTGCTTAAAATTGGAGACTAATTGTGTTGCGGCTAATCGATTGTCCCTCTATCTCTGTCTTTCTTTGTCTGAATTCAGTCCAGATACCCGGGATGCAATCTCCCTTGGTCAAGTGTAAGGATCCTGTACGATATTTGAGTGGGCAACTTCAAACTAGTGGCTACCACTCACACAGCCACTGCAAAAAGTTAATTTAATTTGACTTCAATTGTCAGTGTCACAGCGACAACAAACAGGTGGCTTGTGCAGGAAATTTTAAAAAAATGTGGTGGAGGTACAACTGTCAGGGCTGAGTTTTAACTCTACATTTAGACTCAATGCTGTGCTACATACAACCTGAGCATGTTTGGCGACGGTATTGATGGTTAGAAGTGAGGCACTGATCTCCTCAATTGGGCCAAAAGAAATTCACTCAATTTAAAAATAAATAAGATTTCTAATTAAATGACAATTACTCAAGGTCTCAGACCATTCCTATCATCGCGGTTTATAGAAGGTCATATAAGCATAGGATAGGGTAAATAGTTTTTTTTTAATTCCCTCCCAATCCAAACAAGTGAAAGCTAACATCTATCTTAAAAAAAACGCAACAAAAGCAATGAACACTTTTCCATAAACTCAATCCGGTGAAAGGGTGAAAACTTAAGAGTTTTTCTGTACCTCTGTGGAAGGGATTGTCAGAACCTGATGAGGAACTCGTTTTGTAATTCTTGCCCTCGTGTCTCTTTAGATAGGACTGCAAAGTTGATCTAAGGGCCAAAAGAAAGATAATAAATTAAATTTTCCACTAAATATTCCACAGAAATCTCAGAAAAATCTTCTTTCTAAAAAGGTTTTGAGACGCCTGCCATCTTCTTTTCCTGGGACCTACAGGTCTTTTCAGAAACAGAAAGCTCACTTTGCACAAATTGTACGATAGAGCAGTTCCACTAAAACAATCTTCATTCTCAGGCTGTTTCGCTTCTAAGGCAGGTATCCTGTGGACCCTCAGTGAGCTTCCTGCACATGCATTTCATGTCAATGCATAACCTAACTTACCCCCAATAGTAGCTTTGGATTGTATCAATGCACAACATATCCTGCTACTGCTAGTTTATTATTATTGGAGCTCTGTACCAAACAATAGGATGAAACATTCTAGCTCTGAGAATCTCCATGTATTGATATCATTCAACATGTGATCAAACAGATCCAACCAGGACCTTTTTACCCCTCTCCAGAGTCTGACTGGCTCATTGGCAAATGGTACCCTGACTGATTGATATAAATTTCTTCAGATAATAGAGCGTGACAAGAAGATAACCTAGGATTGAGTTGTCTGGACACGAGTAAAGATCTGATCCACTTGAGTTATCCAATCTTTGTTTAAACAGGCACACACTGTCTATCAAAAGATAGCATATTTAAAAATTAAAACAGTGCTTCTTTCGAATGAAAGAGATTATCCAAACAATCACATTCGAGTTAGTGCAGGAAAGGTATCCTGCCTTTAAAATAATAATACTTACATTTAATACAGATTATAACATGTCAAGGAAACGTTAAGTTATAAAGCATATCACAGGATTTTACTGTCAAGTGCAGTGAACAAATATCACCAACAAAAAAATCACATAAATCCTCAAATATCTTTTACCTGGAACGAGCAAACAGGACATTGTAAACAGCTTGCTCGTTTTCCGACAGTTTTAATTTATGAGACTGGCTAAATCGTTGAGGCAAGGAGACCTGAAAAAAGAGGAAGGTGCTCGTGAACACTTTGATAAAACTAACAAGTCTGAAATTTATGCTATAATAAACATTCATTCCACATCTGACAGAACAGAAACTAATCGTGTGACTTGTATCGGGATTTCCTCACAACCATTTCCAATAACAAAGTAATAATCAAGAAATTGATTAGGCTTAATAGAGCAGTGAAGTTGCACAAGCTACGTACAGATCAAGCACTGCAGCTCTAGAAGTGATGTTTCATCACTATTATCCACACAGGCAGCATAGGTATGAATTGACAGGATCAATATCAACATTGCAGTTAACGGTTCTTAGATAAACACATCAAGGCCAGAAAAGTTGTAGGTGTCATAATTATAGACCGAAGTGTTTGATGAATACTTTTTCATTAGAAAGGCAGTGCTTTTTTTTAAGAGCTAACCTCAAGAGAACAGCCTTGATAAAGCTTTACTTCAAAACCCCCTAAAACGTATTAAGTTCAATTTACATTTTAAAAAATGTACATACCAGTGGTTCCCCGCTAGAGTTAAGTTGGTTCTTCAATCGGCGCAACAAAAGGCTTTTGGTGATAATATTCAGGCGTTCACCACCTCTCTTTGTACCGTTGTCCACTTGATTCTTCCACAGCTTGAACTCATCAAACGGGGAACAACGAAGGAACCTGGTTCAACAGGACCGTCAGAGTTTACAACCGTGGCCCGTGATTAGAAATACCGACCAAATTGTTAATTAACAGGAAGGCGCAAGGTACATAGTTGAAGGATCATTTGGGATTGAAAAAATCTTTGCAATAGTCTGAAATGTCCACATCACTCAAAAATCTCACACTTTTTCTGAAGGATAGACTGTATTAGTATATCTTACTTGAGCAGCGAATACATATCCAGTAGGTTGTTTTGGATGGGTGTCCCTGTGACAGCCCAACGTGCTGCAGCTTGGAGTTTGCACACTGCCAATGATGTCTGCACATGGGGGTTTTTAATGTTGTGAGCTTCGTCCAAAATGATTCGGGCCCAGGTCACCTTCAGCAGAGGAGAATGAAAAGACTTTCCAGCAGCCAAGTCCTATAAAACAGCACATCAACTGAGCTACGAGCACAATTTTCACACAATCACTGCTAAGCTGAATGCATTGCTTGTTACTATTGCCTGCTATTGCAACAACACAACTTGCATTTATATAGCGCCCTTCATGTGGGGTAGCATCCCAGAGAGCTTCGTAGTGGTGGAGTTTGACAACAAATCAAGGGTAGATGGGGAGGTGACCATAAGCACGATCAAAAAGGAATGTCTTTAGGCAGGATTTGAAGGTGGAGAGGGAGGGGGAAAGGCAGAGGGATTGAGGGAGAGAGTTCCAGAATTTCGGGGCGTAGTAGCTGAATGCACAGCTCCTCTGAGAAGTTGATGATGCTACCAAAATCGCTTGGTATTTGGTAAGAGTATGGCAATTGTACCAGCATGTGCAACTCTAGCGTTCTGAGACTGCAGTGCAGCCAGTAAGATGGCAAAAATGTAAGAACTTAGATTTGTGGTGTCCCACCGCATTGAAATATCTCAAGAGTGTTCTACAGTATTTACTGTCAAATGTAGTAATGCTTTTGTAGGCAAACACAGCAGCTATTTTGCAGAAGTTCCACAAGTGGCTTGTGCAAAAATTATATTTGCAGCACTGTCCAAAATAGCTGAACAAACTTTCTGAGGTGAACGACTAATTAATCTGGAGTACCGTTGGCCAAGACACAGGGAGAAACTTTTTTTTTTGAACAGTATCATGGCATCTTTATTGTCCACTTGAATCAGCAGACATGATCTTGGAATTAATATCTGATCTGAAAAGACAGCATCTCTGACAACACAGGGTTCCCTCAGTACTTCTCTTGAAGGCTACCCTGGACTATGACCTCAAGTCCCAAGATAAGACTTGAATCCACAGTCTCCTGATCCAGAAGTGAGAGTGCTATCAACTGAGCCAACCTGGCATCACATTTAAACTATGAAGTGCTTTTGTGTGCTACCCTGCGTGAGGGGCACTATATAAATGGAAGTTGTTGTTGTTAACGCCATTACTTATATCACTTCCCCAAATTCCTAACTTACATCCTTCTTAACATCATCTTTGCCTGCACGTTCTCCACCTTCCTTCTTCACCGGGAGCTCCTTTGCAACAAGGCTGTAGGTTGTCACCACTACATCAAATTCTGACAGCCTATAAAAGGAAACAACTCATTCAATTTCGTAAGATTGCTATTAATGAAGTGACCAGTCATAGGCTTTCATCTGTAAATACACAATCACTACACTTCGCAGTCAAAATTCTGTAAACGTCTTTCAAGACATTTCAACAACAATCATAAGTTGCTATATCAAATGCACGAATTATTATTATTATTTTCAGTTTAAGGTTTAATTCTGCATTGTGGGAATGGTTGATGATCAGTTTCAAGTGCTTTTCTCCTTATCCAGGAATTCTCCGCACCACAAGGTAACTGCTATAACAGTCCTCTGGGACCAATACGGCAACAACTGCTTTAAAACAGCACAAATACGGATGATCACCAGCTTGTGATGTAATTTCCTGCACGTTTCTCAGGTGCCCAGGGAAATGATGTTGCTGGAGGTCAAATGGGTCATTTTCAGCACAGGAAGCCTGCGCTGAAAAATGACCCATTTCCGAGTCATCTGATCACCACCAACATCATTCCCCTGGGCACCCAATGTACCAGACACTTAGCAGGATTGCCCTATATTTCTCTTTTTACTGACACTGAGAGAAACAAGGTCTTTATTTCAGATTGTTTCCATTGCTGCTGCTAAACTGGCTTTTAGCAACAGAGGTTATCTCATTTGATGATTTCCTCTCCTCTCCCCCTGGGGAGTGCCTTGTCTCTACTTCAAGGCTCTCACAGAGGATATCAGATCTAATTATATTATGCATTATTCTAAGGGAGAACAAGGCATTTTCCTTTTTTAATATGATATGGAGTGCACTTGAAACTCTTTCTGACCAACCTGGCCTTATTCTCACATTAACATTAAACCCACTACAGAGTCAGCAATCCATCGGATTGTCAAACTAGCACACTAGAAATGCATAATAACTACATTTATAGTACCATAAGGAAAATAAATGTGCCATCTCTATAATAGTGCACAATTTCAGTGTAGGGAATATCACACTGTATATTGAGAGCTAGAATACTGTAACACCTCAAATACTCACACTCTTGCTTGTTTCTCTCGCTTTGCTCCATGGTACAGGTACACACTCAGTTTCCTTCCAGTAACATGCCGTTCAATTTCATTTTTCCAGTGGTATATTAGAGACGCTGGACAGATCACTAGTGTCCCACTGGATGTTACAGGAGCATTATCTGTTGGAAAGAAGGTTTCAGAATATATTAGATGAAGCCAGACAGTAAGTAGTATAAGATATCAATGCCCAGTAAGACCTTACATTGGTCAGCCATTTCACTACCACTGGAAATGGACAACACTTGGCTAACAGTACTCATCTCTTTTGAACAGCCTGCACACGTGAGCTTTTTGGCTGCCTTCTTTTACAAGAAGTTGCTAAGAAATGACTATCTATAAATGGGAATATTGTTACGGAGAAAAAAATGGAGGCGAGAGATGAGAGAAGAACATCCAGCAAACAAGTTTATGTTCATGTAACCTTTTCTGGGGTGCAAAATACGGAAAATACAGAAAGAAAAACTCTGGATGGAAAATATATTGCCTCGCACTAAAAGTTATGGAAAGTGCAACTCCAACAACTTCCATGGGTAAACAAATATCAATTTAAGATATGAACAGCTTTGCAAAATTCAGTTTTAGAACCATTTTATTCTGGTTCAAAGAGTAATTTAAATCACTAGATTTCTGAACATTTTTCCCCCTCTCACTGAATCTACACTTTGCCCATGATCCTGAATGATTCATAAAGCAACCAACCAAAACGATACAGATAATTGATACCCTGCTGAATAAACACGTTCTGCGATGATCCCAAAGAAATTCGATTGGGTTAACAGTGCCTCAGTTGTTCGCATTAAATTCCCTGCAGTTAGCCCCATTTTCTTACCATATTTAGAGATCCACTCAGTTAGCCTTTTCTCTTCTTTCTTGTTTTCTTTCGTCCCCTTATACCGTTGCGCTAGGATGACTGCAATCATTGTCAGTGTTTTCCCCAAACCCATGTCATCCGCTGTGGAAGAATAGAGAGAGGGTAAATAGTTTAAAATCTCAATCTTTTCCCGATTCCCTCCTGAACAGATTCTTACTGGAAACATACAGACTCTTTGACCTGGATCTAGAGTGCAGGCTGTTTTATCAGGAGATCCAGTAAGCCATAGTTTAACCTGCACTGTTAGCAAACAGCAGATTTTCGCTGTGACTTTATAATAGAATTTCCTATTCATTAAGGACCAAGTTAATTAAATCCATATCTGTCTATTTTCCTTGAATAGAATGGTCCTTGTGCCAATTTAACTGACAACTGCAACAAGTTACATTTGTATAGCACCATTCAAGTCGGGTGGATGTCACAAGGGCTGACAGAACACCCAGTCATATTGGATGTTAAATGATGGGTAGCCATTGAACCAAATACAGAATTGGATCAAGAGAGAAAAAGAACACAATTTCTGTTGGGGACAGCTAATTGATTCACTTGCTATTAAGAGTGGATTCCTATTTTGTATAAAGACTACTCCTTTCCTGGATAGCAGTCTTGGCCAATAGAATCTCTCACTAAAACATATTCCCTTTACAAGATTTCCCCCAATGGCTCAGTTGGTAAAGACGCTCCCTGGTGATTAACTGAACCGTACAAACAGGGAAGATTCCTTCTCTGTGTTGGGTTAGCTGATCTCAGGCTGGGTGGCAGTATAAATGCTACAACTGGCCTCAGCTCCCTGGGAAGATTAAATCAGTCAGAGTTCCTGTTCCTAATCACCATACAGTAACCCATGCTACAATGTGAGGAGGGAAAAGGACTAAGCTCAGCTGGCATATTCCTCAGTCACAAATCTGCTGGCACTTATGGTATCATACACCAACATGAATCAGCATCTGGGAGGGAAGGATGCAGATAAGACAGCGATAAAGATCAGCTCTTTCTGGTTTCTTCCATACTTTGTGACAACTGTGCTTTTTATTAATTCCTGTCTGATCCCCATCTAGAAGCATACCAAAAGGGAAGAACAAACTGCTGAGCTCATCGGCTCACACTGCTCTGCACGACACAATCAAGTCAGTTCCTTCTCAGAAAACTCTCTCACCTAGAATGCCACCTGACGGTTGCTGTGTTTCTCGCCATAGTAACCATGCCAATGCCTGTATCTGGTGAGGCAGCAACTGGACCTGCAACAATAAATAGACAATAGATTTTTTTCCCGCCACCCTAATTCTTTAGGTACTGACTTCATTCAGTCTATTAAAAACTAAAAGCGTTGTTGATTGTGAAAAATGTTAAAATACATAGTTGCGGCAAAATAAAATTGTGATAACTATGAAAACTGAATAAATTCTGTCTCTTTATTGCACGGTTGCTCGGAATAAAGTCTTTTTTAAAAAAAATCTCTTGCATTGACTGAAAGGATGATAAAGGTGGATTACAGAGTGGGCATTAGTATGTTAATTATAGTGTATCAAAATGTGATAACATAAAATTTAAAGGAGCCAGAATCACAGCTAATTGGGTGGGAAGCAGCTGACATGAAGAACACTGCCCCTCCCCACCTCCCCCTCCCCGAAAGGAATCCAAAATTCTGTCATCTCAGCTACACTTGCCTTGAGATGTCGTGGAATCTCAACCTCATCTGATGTAGTCGGGCAGGACTCCAATGATTTATGGAGATGTTCAATAGCCTCGCTCGTTACATTCTTGACAGCAAGATGCTTGTCTTCAGTCATTCGACCCCCATATAGGCTCTGCTGATGCGGAGTGGCTGAGATTGGGAGAAATTATCAATCCGTTTGTTTTCAAAGAAAAATATTTTCTTTCTCGTAAGTGAGTTACTCTTCACCGCAGATACAAATATATCAAAAATAAACAACTTCAAGCTCTTCGCTTTCCACACATACAAGAATTTTGAGCTCATTCTTCACCAGAGTTCTAGGCGCTGTCTATGTATACAGAATGCAGTGTAGGTGCAATCCAAACAAGAGGCTGCAGTCTATCAGTGTGGGACACAAACATATCTGAACGTTATGCAATTTGATATTCAATACAGTGGCTTGAAGGTAAACGCACTAACCCATGTGGATCTAATTCACTGAACTCAGCACAGACCAAGAAATAAACCGAAGGCCTTGCTGATCTGAATGATTCAATTCTACAGAGAAATAACATGCTGTTGATTACAAAATGCACATTTCCAGATTTAAAAAAGGTTATTTTTCATTTCTGGCAAAGGATAGTTTATTTGCAACATCTTACCTCCATATGCCGGAGTATAAAAATGGCTTGATCCTGCGTAGGAACCATTATTAAAACATGAAGCTTCTGCACCCAATCTGGAATCCTGATAAGGCACCGATTTATCTAAATAGGCACGGCTTTTGTCAAAGGGATTGGTTTGAGTATCCGTTGTCTTCTCTCCTATAAAGAGCCTGTTACTAGGAGATATTTCAGAACCTTCATTTATCAACATACTCTTACATGTCTAACATTGGGTAAATTGTGCTCCAACCCTAATTTCCACAATGCCCAGAGAAATCACTATTTTAATTGTGATAATAAGCTTAATCATAGAATTTTACAGCAAAGAAGGAGGCCATTCTGCCCATCGTGTCTGTGCTGGTTATTTTAAATGAGCTATCCAAAATCAATCTACCACCTCACCGCGCTCTCCCTATAGCCCTGCAAGCTTAATAAAGTACCTTTCTCTTCTGTTTCATCTGCAGCAGACAGACAGAGTGAACTGAGTGCATCTTCCAGGTCTTTGACCTGATTAATTAACCTCTGACCTTTATCAGGAAGTGCAGCAATGTTCACAGTTGCCAGAGTAGTCTGAAAAACAAAGGGTTTTCATAAGCATGTCTTTGTAGCCTTTTAATGAAAAACAGCTCCACTAAATTTAGATGTCAGTTCTCCCATCCCATTTTAGACTAAGTGCTGAAATGACCGAACCCAACGATATTTAACACATGCATGAATATCATTAAAAAAAAATTCTGAACTCGAGATACCCGATAATAACGAGGTTTGGAACAAATTTATCTGCTATTTAGGCACGTCTCCTGGCATCCAAAGTTGTTGTTTGTAACAGAGATACAAAAAATACATTTGTAATATTTCATACACGTCAACTTCTGACGTCATTGTAAAACGTACAGGACAACGTTCACGCTTGTGTGGAGCTCCAATTTGCCTCAAACACCATCAAGCTTTTGTGAGCAGTCAACATGAAAAGCAGCGGAGGCTACAAATGTGTCCCTTTGGCCTTTTCCAAACCTCTTTAGTGTTCCTGTGGTCTCAAAGGTAACACTTCCTTTATTAATAATCCTTGCATTGACACAGCTCTTATAACAGTAAAACGTCTCAAAGCACTTCAGAGGTAATTTCTATTAGTGTCGTGCTGTGCACTTGCAGAGAAATATAACATAGGTTGCCTCACATTCCCAGTAATATAATGTACCTACAGACCCTGCACTTCAGCTCTTTCATTGACCATAAAATTGGTCATTCACTTCATGACTGTTTTCTCAGAAGATTGTGCACAAAATTAGCAGCTGCATTAGCCTAAAAAATAGTCACTACACTTTACAGGAAATCCTGTGAAGCGCACTAACACATCCCTCCTTATTGGTCACCAGGTGTTTTAATGCCTCTCCCCTCATGGTGGTTAAATGAAATGAAATTTGTCTCTCGCCATTGTCCGTCTTCCAGTGACTTCCTTACCTTCTTTTGTTTAAGCTGAATGGTCAGCTGCTCACGCATAGTTTTCTTGTTTTGCGTGTGCTGAGGTACATGTTCAAACCCAGGAAATGATAGGAGTGTTCTCTGTCCATTAATTATCTGGGGTTTCTTCATATCTGCCGTCTGCTTGACACCCACCACCTCGCTCCTGGGTATAGCTTGCCCTGATTCAATGGGGCCACTTTTCTCTCCATTTTGAGCGCACGTTTCGGTGTGAATGAGCTCAGGCAATTTGTTTGCCTTGTTCGTTTTTCTACTTGATTCAGTGGCATTTAGAGAAGGAACTGAACAATGCCCAGAATCACCAGGTCTAGTTTTGGCTCTTTGTACCGGCACTGAGTTGCTTTCCTTACCATCTTCCTCTTCTGTCTGCTGGGATGACCTGATCACACAACATCCATCAGTGCTGCTGAGTTTTTCATCTTCACACCTGGCTTCACTTTTATGATTTAACACTGCTCTGTCACTTGGCTGTTGTCCTTTCGAGGATACATTCTCTATTGTTGTAAAATCCCTATACTTCAACGATTGCTTCACCATTACTTCTTTACGGACATTCTCTCTTCTACATAAGTGCACTTTATCTTCCTCCCCGGCTTGAGATGACCTTGAGTTTGTTCCTTTCTCATTTTCCAAACGTATGGATGGCTTTAAAGACATTCTATCTTGAACACTCCTTTTTTCCTTAAAATCAGATTCCTCTGTTCCTACCTGACATTTAACACCAGGATTTATTTTTGCTTCAGCTGCTTTACGGCGGTCAATCTTTTCAATGTCAGACGACTTTTTCTCAGTCTTCACCGCTTCAAGAAACTCTTTTGCTTCCTGCTCACTAGCTTCCAACAGATACTTTGGTTTCAGCATCTCATTTGCATTCTTGTTGTGCTTCAGGGATTGTTCACACTCAGTCTCGTTCTTCTGCCTGCTTTTAGTGACATCTTTCCAATCCAATGGTTTGTGATTCTCACTTTTAGTTTTGAAAGGATTGCGTTCCTGCTTCTTGGAATGGTGGGACACTTCTGGAACACGCTGGCTACTTCTTTCAACTGATGACGGTTTTGATTTGGATTCCTGAAAGACATAATATTAAAACTTTGCAAGACTGCAATAACATACCTTGATCACATCCAAAAAAGAACATTTATTATGATACTTTTGAGGGAACAATGAATGTATGAATGAAAAACAGCAGTGTTTTCTTAAAAAAAACTATAAAGGATATAAAATGTCTACCGTGTACTCATTCTCACGGAGGTGAGAATTAAAAGTGCCAGGCAATGGAGCTTTTTGCCATATTTGTATCTGTTATCAACATCAAATCAGAAACAGCATCAAACCTAATTTACTTATGGCTAATATAGGTGATAACTTGGAGACTTAAATCTAATCAGTGTAGGGCAGGTAAACCAAAATCCTGGAGGTGAAAAGAAAGTTTTCTAATCCATGAAATCAACCAGATACCTTGCATCTTATAGACATGAATCACCTTTTAAAAGGGCACCAAGGGCCAAATGCTACAGATTTAAAATGAATCAAATGTTCTTGTGTTTTAATTTGGTGGTGCTGTATACTCTTACTGCTGTTCACTTCCCTCTCATCAAATGATCGAAACTTGAATGGAGCAGTTAAAATTAAAACGTTCCCATTCTTTAAACCAAACATTGTTGTCAACATTTTAAATCAGTGAAGAAAGCAAACTATTGAATGCAAGTGGTGGAATGTTGCTGATGTGGTTTTTAGAGGGCATCAAGTACCGAATGCCTGAAACACACTGTGGTCTTGTACAGCACACTGGCTCAGAGGAAGACCTGCTGCAATCCAGAAACGTTTAACACTTTTATTCTAAAATCTAAAAAGAATCTGAAAACAAAAGTAATTTTGCAGTTGTGTTCACACATGAGCTTTCAATTCACATAAAGGAATAAATAAATTAGGCGACAGATCTATTGAAAATACAAATCTATTTTAAGATTCTTTACCAATTACCAATTCTTCACACTGACACGGTTACCAATTCAAAACTTCTCAAATTTACACTAGAGTATACAGGCAGTGTTACTAAATTCTTCCACAATATCCTGTTTTTTATTTATTGATGTAACAGCACTCCAAGTACAATATTAAAAATCCAATAGTTCTCACATTATAATTCCTTAACATTAGCATTAGGATTCATCCCTTGGCCTCTGACCACTAATTTCATTTAAAAGTCCATACCTGCCAGGGTATGTTTCCACACCACTTCATTCCATCTGCCTTCCCTTCAACACATCGATAGTATGACCTTCCAGAGGAGGACAAGACAAGCATTAAAAATGGCTTCTATTACAGTCTTATTTCAATTATTGCCCATTTGGGGGAAATTATTCGGTTTCCTTCCATTAGCATCTCTGCCCAATGTCGTTTCATATATACAGACATAATGCTTCTAAAAGGCATGATTCACATTTTTGTTACACAGTTTATGTATGGAACGAAGCAGAGGTTCAGTGATCTGGTGAACAAGGAATTAATTCTGTTGTGTTACCACAAGGCAAAAGCCATAAGTTGAGTTGGAATGATTTGTGAATTGCAATCATTTAAGTGGGATATGTCTTTTTTTTAAATCTTTCAGTCAAACACCAATATATTTAGGAACATGACGATTAGACTATTCAGTTCACACCAGCTCATTACTTCGCATAGATCTATAGATCTGGTGTAAGCAAATAAGTTAGCATTTGATTCTGCTCAATCCCTCCACCTTTGTCTCAATCCCTCTGCCTTGTCCCCTCCCTGTCCGTCTTCAGATCGCACCTGAAGAGCTTCCTCTTTGACCTTGCCTTTAGTCACCTGGTCTCCCTCCCTGGCTTTGTATAAAGCTTCTCCATTGTTAAACACTCCGAGATACTTACCCTGCGTGAAGAATGCTATATAAATGCAAGCCGTTGTTCCTCTAGACATTAGAAAAAAAACTCACAAGAAAATAATAGTACAATCTGCTGTTCCAAAGGGTAAATTGCATAGTATTTTCCCCACTCCAAAATAAAATACAGAGGGGTACCACCAGTGCGCTATGCAAGTTTTATTGCCTGCTCTACGATACATTAGGCAGAAAATTGCTTGTAATAATATAATAATAAACTGTACCGGTATGGTTCAGTATTCAATTTTCTGAAGAGGGCTTGGAGTTCCACCATCGAACCTTCATGGAGCAGGCAGTGAGACACAGGAACGCTGGGAAAGAAAGATAGCAACACCACTTACTGTAGGTAATGAAGACTTACTATTATAACAGCATTGCAGAAGTGTAAATTAGCAGTAAATCTGCCAGGATATGAGGTGGCGTCAGAAATAATGGCCCAAATTCTCAGCCAAAGAAATTGACAACTTTCTAATCCATAATTCAATCTAGAAAAGGCTATTCTTCATCTGAAACGTTGAGAGGTTTTAGGATTTTAAAAAAAGGATTNAAAAAAGATGTAAAAAAATAAAGATTATTTTGGTAAATATGCTGGACAAATCATTTCCTGATGGGTGGATGTTATTGATTGTTCCAAAAGTGCTCATGAACAGCAATGTCTAATCGGAAGACATTTTCAAAATCCGGTTCATTTTTATACAGCAAAAGCAATTTCCTGTACATATATATAACTGGTGATAGCATTTACAAATTAAATTAGACAAGTGTGTAGATGGTCTGAAAGTGCAACTAGTTGGCCCTAGACCAAAGTAGGAATTTGAGAGCTTCAGGCACATTTCCTTGTTGGGGGATTCTTCAATTTCAGTTAGGTCTGAGGATTTGTTTAACTGTTTAAACAAGAAGTCACCCAGAACCACCTCTGCACATCTCTTAAGTCACAGTGCAGCACCCACAAATACCTTCGAAGAGGTCAGGGAATAATTTGCATTGCAGAGGCAAACAATTATTCTTAAAAATCTGTAAATTTTACAAAAAGGCTGAAAAAGCATAAACCAAACAATTAATCATCCGATTTTACAATACAGTTCTCTCGAGCAAAGTAATGTTCCAAGTATTTGAACATTACAGTGAAGCCTGCAACAAAAATGTAGCATGAACAAGTTGGGTGCCATAGTTCTGTGGCTCTACAATGGATATCATCCATGGCAGCCATATGAGATGTACTGCGCTCCTCCTTACGGATGAATTGTGCTCTTGAAATACTGAAACATTCCAGCCTGGTTAGCTTTTTGCAGAAATGTTCCTGTAGTGCTCAAAGTAGTTAACCTGTAATCTCCCAAGAGACTGATCATGACTGGAAAGGTATTGATCGTCAACCACAGAAATGTTGTTGCTGAATGCTGATGTCACCACAAAGCATGTAGTGCCTTGGGACGTCGTCCTGACGTGAAAGGCGCTATACAAATGTAATTTGGTTAATTTGTTGCAGTAACAAAAAGATGTTACCACGATTGACGAGATACCCTTCCGTTGCGACATCCTCCCGACGTGAAAGGCACCACACAAATGTAATTTTGTTGTTGTTATTTCCAGTACTATACAGCAGGCTTTCCCAGACAAAACAGCAATCCCGACAGAATTTTTCAAAACACCTTAAAAAAAAAGTTGCCAGCCCTCCTCAAATAAACTACAAATGCCAAGTGTGTAAGGTGTGTGTATGTTCACTAAATGAGTTGCATCTCATTCAGCACCAGCTCCTAGACTCAATGGGACCTGGAAAGCTTCCTATTGCTTGGCTCCAACATTTTCATCTTGTTCTTCTTCTTTTCCTGAGTGGCTTATGTTCAAGAACTCCAGTACTGTGAGCCTGACATCAAAATGTTGACAAAATAGAACAGGGGTGGTGAGAGGTAACTTCACAGTCCAGTCTGCTTTCACACATGCATACTTTTCAGCGGGGGTCACATAGAATTCAGAAACAGAACTGCAGCAATTTTTCCCCTCCCTTGCTCAAGGCTGCTGAGGCTGATTGCAACAACACTGTCATCCCACGAGAGAATATGTAGAATTAATGCTAATTCAGCATTAACAAAGAAACAAATGTGGGACTTTCAGGCTCACTTTCACAGTTTACCAACTGAACTATTAAGACAGTCTAATAACAACAAGTTAAGACAGAAAAATCAATATTTTCTCATTGCCTATCTCTGCCACTGTGTGTCACAGACTGAAATAGCACTTACTCAGCGACCTGTGTGAATGAACATGGAGATCCATGGCGTGCTCCGCAGATATAGAAACTCTTTCCTTTGGAGGCTCCATCTCGTACTCCTGTCTTCAGGAAACAAGCAGTTCCTGCAGGAAAAGTACAACACTGTAAACAGTCATTTGTTGATTAAACAAATTCAACAGCAGCAACATATGATCACCTACATCACCCATGATGTGCTGACTATACCAGAAATCTAACAGGGATTCAAATAGACACCACAAATTATAATAATAATAATCCTTGCATTTGATATAGCGCTTTTCACGTCAAGAGGACGTCCCAAAGCGCTTCACAGAACACACTGTAAAGTGAATTGACTGTATATTTGTGGGCGAACGCGGCAGCCAATTGCGCACAGCAATGTCCCACAAACAGTCGTAGATTGAAAATGACCAATTTATTATTGTTTTTGGTTTTGGAGGGATTATTATTAGGTGTGTGGAGTAAGGAAACTTGCCCAAGGTTTCGCCCTCTGCATGGAATTGAACTCGGGTCTCTCACTTGCAAAGCGAGTGCTGTAACCACTGAGCTACAGGACTCCAAATTGAATGAAAAACCACATAGCAGCAGCTGGTTTAGAAAATAGAAAATTCACACCGGTGTACTGTGAAGACGCCTTTGAATCTACAAGCAAATTATACCTGAAACTACTTAATGCCAAATCTTATTTTCCAGCACTGTACTACAGTAAAATCTCTCGCATTGCTGAGAGCAAAAGAAATTGACCTGATTACTTTAACCCCTCAGTGAAATGCAATCCAGTTTGTTAGAATATGGTAGTCAGGGGTCCCTGAAAAAAAGGTGAGACGAGTATAATGGGGCACATTGTGACACAGCCACTCGTGCTCATTTATGGGCGCGGTTGACATTGTGGAAGCTCATTGCACCCATGCACTGCACGCAAGAACCCAGCCATTCAGCTGAAAATCCTCCTTGAGAATATTTCCAGGGTCACTAGAAGCAGAAAGCCAATACTGTGGATCCTTTGTAATACCAAATAATTGATAATATAATTACAAACAGCGACTGCACAGATAGTATTGATTTCAGTCGAAGCATTCAAACACCTTTGCAAGAAATATGAGGGAAGGGGATTTTAAAAAAAATTAAAAGTTAACCATGGGAGAGGGAGTAGGTAGATGGAGACTCCAGTCACTCTCCCATCCACCCTCCTCCCCATCCCCCTCACTCTTCCTCATCCTCTCTTTCCCCCATCACTTTCCTGTCTCTCCCACGTCCCCCATCCTCTCTCCCCCCAACAACAAAATTTATAGAGCGCCTTTCACGTCGGGAGAACGTCCCAAGGCGCTGGACAGGCAGGAGTCAGGACCTGAGCGTGGAGAAGAGGTGGTGTAGGGATGAGGGACGGCGGAGAGGTGGGAGGGCGACCGAAGGCATGATCAAAGAGGAGGCTCTTGAGACCGGCCTTGAAGGAGACAAGGGAGGAAGAGAGGTGAAGGGACTGTGGGATGGGGTTCCAGTGTGTGGGGGTAGAGAGGCTGAAAGCCCGGCCACCGATGGTAGGGCGGGACGGACGGCAGACATGGAGCTGAATGGAGGGAGCGGGCAGGCTGGTAGGGAGTCAGCAGATCATATGCCCCCCTCCTCTTTCCCCCCTTTCTGTCTCCCCCTCCACTTTCCTGTCTCCCCCACCCCCTCCCTTACCTAATTTCCCTCTCCCCCACCCTCGCCTCTCTCCCTCTCCCCTGCACCCAGTGTAGCACCCCTCCCTTCCTCTCCCCCTTGTACCCAATCTAACACCCCTCCCTCCCCTGTACCCAGTGTAACCCCCCCCTCCTCCTGTACACAGTGTAATCCCCCCCTCTCCCCCTGTACACAGTGTAACCCCTCCCCTCTCCCCCTGTACACAGTGTAACCCCCCCCCTCTCCCCCTGTACACAGTGTAACCCCCCTCTCCCCCTGTACACAGTGTAACCCCCTCCCCTCTCCCCCTCTACACAGTGTAACCCCCTCCCCTCTCCCCCTGTACAGTGTAACTCTCCTCTCCCTCTGTACACAGTGTAATCCCCTCCCCCTGTACACAGTGTGACCCTCTCCCCCTGTACACGGTCCCCCTGTCCCCGTGCCCCCTGTCCCCCTGTACACGGTGCCCTGTCCCCCTGTACACGGTGCCCTGTCCCCCTGTAAACGGTGCCCCCCTGACCCCCTGTACACGGTGCCCTGTCACCCTGACCTCCTGTATACGGTGCCCCCCCTGACCCCCTGTACACGGTGCCCTGTCCCCCTGTCCCCCTGTACACGGTGCCCTGTCCCCCTCTCCCCCTGTACACGGTGCCCTGTCCCCCTGACCCCCTGTACACGGTGCCCTGTCCCCCTGTACACGGTGCCCTGTCCCCCTGTACACGGTGCCCTGTCCCCCTGTACACGGTGCCCTGACCCCCTGTACACGGTGCCCTGTCCCCCTGTACACGGTGCCCTATCCCCCTGTACACGGTGCCCTGACCCCCTGAGCCCCTGTACACGGTGCCCTGTCCCCCTGTACACGGTGCCCTGACCCCCTGACCCCCGGTACACGGTGCCCTGTCCCCCTGTACACGGTGCCCTGTCCCCCTGTACACGGTGCCCTGTCCCCCTGTACACGGTGCCCTGCCCCTGTACACGGTGCCCTGTCCCCCTGTACACGGTGCCCTGTCCCCCTGTACACGGTGCCCTGTCCCCCTGACCCCCTGTACACGGTGCCCTGTCCCCCTGTGTCCCCCTGTACACGGTGCCCTGTCCCCCTGTACACGGGGCCCTGTCCCCCTGTACACGGTGCCCTGTCCCCCTGTTCCCCTGTACACGGTGCCCTGTCCCCCTGTACACGGTGCCCTGTCCCCCTGTTCCCTGTACACGGTGCCCTGTCCCCCTGTCCACGGTGCCCTGTCCCCCTGTACACGGTCCCCCTGACCCCCGGTACACGGTGCCCTGTCCCCCTGTACACGGTGCCCTGTCCCCTGTACACGGTGCCCTGTCCCCCTGTACACGGTGCCCTGTCCCCCTGTACACGGTGCCCTGTCCCCCTGTACACGGTGCCCTGTCCCCCTGTTCCCCTGTACACGGTGCCCTGACCCCCTGTACACGGTCCCCCTGACCCCCTGTACACGGTGCCCTGACCCCCTGTACACGGTGCCCTGTCCCCCTGTACACGGTGCCCTGACCCCTGTACACGGTGCCCTGTCCCCTGTACACGGTGCCCTGTCCCCCTGTACACGGTGCCCTGTCCCCCTGTACACGGTGCCCTGTCCCCCTGTACACGGTGCCCCCTGTCCCCCCGTACACGGTGCCCTGACCCCCTGTACACGGTGCCCTGTCCCCCTGTACACGGTGCCCTGTCCTGTACACGGTGCCCTGCCCCCTGACCCCCTGTACACGGTGCCCTGACCCCCTGACCCCTGTACACGGTGCCCTGTCCCCTGTACACGGTGCCCTGCCCCCTGTACACGGTGCCCTGTCCCCCTGTACACGGTGCCCTGACCCCCTGTACACGGTGCCCTGACCCCCTGTACACGGTGCCCTGACCCCCTGACCCCCTGTACACGGTGCCCTGACCCCCTGTACACGGTGCCCTGACCCCCTGACCCCCTGTACACGGTGCCCTGACCCCCTGACCCCTGTACACGGTGCCTGACCCCTGTACACGGTGCCCTGACCCCCCTGTACACGGTGCCCTGACCCCCTGTACACGGTGCCCTGACCCCCTGACCCCTGTACACGGTGCCCTGTCCCCCTGTACACGGTGCCCTGACCCCCTGTACACGGTGCCCTGACCCCCTGTACACGGTGCCCTGTCCCCCTGTACACGGTGCCCTGACCCCCTGTACACGGTGCCCTGACCCCCTGACCCCCTGTACACGGTGCCCTGACCCCCTGACCCCCTGTACACGGTGCCCTGACCCCCTGTACACGGTGCCCTGACCCCCTGTACACGGTGCCCTGACCCCCTGACCCCCTGTACACGGTGCCCTGAGCCCCTGACCCCCTGTACACGGTGCCCTGACCCCCTGTATACGGTGTATCACATACCGTGTTCCTCACACAAAACTCTCTCCATTTCTCCCCCTTCTTCTTTTTCGGCGCATTCAAATAACGTCACGTTCTCCTCAGCCAATCAGGGAGCAGGGCTTTCAACCAATCACAAATGACCTGGTGATGGTCAGTGAGATCTGAGCCACGTCACCACCACCACAACAACAACAACAACACAACACCACCACAACACCACAACAACAACAACACCACAACAACAACACCACAACAACAACACAACAACAACACAACAACAAACAAACAACAACACAACAACAACAACAACAACAACACAACAACAACACAACAACACCACAACAACAACAACACCACAACAACAACAACACCACAACAACACCACAACACCACCACCACAACAACAACACCACAACAACACCACAACACCACCAACAACAACAACAACACCACAACAACCACAACACCACCACCACAACAACAACAACACACAACACCACAACAACAACAACACCACAACAACAACACCACAACAACACAACAACACCACAACAACAACACCACAACAACACCACAACAACAACAACAACACCACAACAACAACACCACAACAACAACACAACACCACCACAACAACAACAACACAGCAACACCACAACAACACAACACCACAACAACACCACAACACCACCACCACAACAACAACAACACCACAACAACACCACAACACCACCACAACAACAACAACACCACAACAACACCACAACACCACCACAACAACAACAACACCACAACAACACAACAACAACACCACAACACCACAACAACAACAACACCACAACAACAACACAACAACAACAACACCACAACACAACAACAACAACAACACCAACAACACAACAACAACAACACAACAACAACAACACCACAACACAACAACAACAACAACACCACAACAACAACACAACAACAACAACACCACAGCACCACAACAACAACAACAACACCACAACAACAACAACACCACAACAACAACAACAACAACACCACAACAACACCACCACAACAACAACAACAACACCCACCACAACAACAACAACACCACCACAACAACACAACAACACCACCACAACACCATCACAACAACACAACAACATCACAACAACAACACAACACAACACAACAACAACATCACAACAACAACAACAACATCACAACAACAACACACCAACAACACACAACAACAACAACACCACAACACAACAACAACACCACACCCAACAACAACACACCACAACACCACAACAACAACACAACACCAACACAACACCAACAACAACCACAACACAACACCACAACAACACCACCAACACAACACAACACCAACACAACACCACCACCACAACACCAACACCACAACACAACACCACAACACCAACACCACAACACCACAACACACAACAACAACACCACCACAACACCACAACAACACCACCACAACAACAACACCACAACACCACAACACCACCACAACACCACAACAACACCACAACACCACCACAACACCACAACACCAACACCACAACACCACAACACCACACACCACAACACCACCACAACCACAACACCAACACAACCACACAACAACACCAACCACAACACCACACAACAACACAACACACCACCACCACAACAACACACCACAACACACCACACCACAACACAACACACCACACCACACCACAACAACACCACCACAACACAACCACCACAACACACCACAACACACCAACACCACACCACAACACACCACCACAACACACCACAACACCATCACCACAACACCACCACAACACCACCAACACCACCACAACACCAACACCAACACCACAACACCACCACAACACCACCACAACACCACAACAACAACAACGCCACAGCACCACCACAACACCACCACAACACCACCACAACAACACCACAACACCACCACAACACCACAACAACAACAACGCCACAGCACCACCACAACACCACAACAACACCACAACACCACCACAACAACAACAACACCACCACAACAACAACAACCACCACCACCACAACAACAACAACACCCACCACAACAACAACAACACCACCACCACAACAACACAACAACAACAACAACAACACCACCACAACAACACCACCACAACAACAACAACAACACAACAACACCACAACAACAACACCACCACAACAACAACAACAACACCACCACCACAACAACAACAACACCACCACAACACCACCACAACAACACCACCACAACACCACCACCACAACACCACCACCACAACAACAACACCACCACAACAACAACACCACCACAACACCACCACCAACAACACCACCACCACAACAACACCACCACAACACCACCACAACACCAACAACACCAACACAACAAAACAACAACACCACCACAACAACACCACCAACACCACCACAACAACAACACCAACACCACCACAACACCACCACCACAACACCACCACCACAACACCACCACCACAACAACACAACACCACAACACCACCACCACAACACCAACACCACAACAACAACAACACAACACCACAACACCAACAACACAACACCACAACAACACCACACAACACCACAACAACAAAACAACAACAACACAACAACAATAACACCACAACACCACAACAACAAAACAACAACAACACCACAACACCAACACCACCACAACAACACCACAACAACAACACCACAACAACAACAACACCACAACACCAACACCACCACCACAACAACAACAACAACAACACCACAACAACAACACCACCACCACAATAAACAACAACAACCACAACAACAACCACACAAACAACCACCACAACAACAAACAACAACAACCACCACCACAACAACAAAAACACAACAATAACCACCACAACCAACAACAACCACCACAACAACAAACAACAACCACCACAACAAGAAACAACAACCACCACAACAACAACAAACAACAACAACCACCACAACAAGAAACAACAACCACCACAACAACAATAAACAACAACAACCACAACAACAATGAACAACAATAAACAACCACAATAACAATAAAAAACAACCACAATAAACAACAACAACCACCCACAACAATAAACAACCACAACAATAAACAACAATAAACAACCATAACAGCAATAAACAACAATAAACAACCATAACAGCAATAAACAACAATAAACAACAATAACCAACTGCAACAATAAACAATAACAATAATAAACAACAATAATAACAACAATAAACAACAACAACATTAACCGCAACAACAACAACAACAATAAATAACAACAAATAATAACAATAACAACAATAATACGAACAACAACTTGAATTTACATAGGCCCCTCCACGCCGGACGGCTTCTCAATGCACTTCACAGTAATGGATCCCGGGACCGAGCCAGGGGGAGGGGGAGGAAGGTGACCAATGGCGCGGTCAAAAAGAAAGGTCTTCAGCCGAGACCTGAAAATAGGAAGAGAGGGCACGAGGCGAAGGGAATGAGGAATGGAGTTCCAGAGCCTCGGAGCATAGTGGCTGAAGGCACAGCCGCCGAGGGTGGAGTGGAGGTCCAGGGGGACAAGGAGGAAGCCAGACCCGGACAACAATAACAATAATAATAACAACAACAATAATAATAATCCTTACATTTAATATAGCAAGGTGTCTTCAAAGTGCTTTACAGAATATACTGTAAATTGAATTGACTGTATATTCTGTGGGTGAAACGCGGCAGCCAATTGCGCACAGCAGTGTCCCACAAACAGTTGTGGATTGAGTGACCAAATTATTTTTATCTATATTGAAGGAATTATTACCCTTGGAAAAGCGATGAGCCAATCGACTAACAACCGGATTCCTACTTACTGCTAGGCAAATTGAGGCTTGTTGATTAAGGAAACTTGCCCAACATTTCGCCCTGCCGGGAATCGAACCCAGGTCCTCCCGCTTGCGAGGCGAGTGCTCTAACTACGGAGCTACAGGACTCCAATGTGGTTACACTGTGGCTCTGGGTCACATTATTGTGAGTTCAACTCTCTTGCTGGTAGTTGTATTTAGAGTCTAAATTGAAACTCAAGCAATACTTGATTTAGAATTCCTTGCATTTGACATAGTACCTTATTATTACATTGTCAAGACTTCCCAAAGCGCTTCACAGGATTTACTGTGAAATGGAACCACTGTATGGGTTCCACGTCCCGATGTGGGGCTTGAACCAACAATCTTCTGACTTAGAGGTGGCAGTGCTATTAATTGAGCCAGTTTGTCGCAAGTTTGACATTGATGTTTTATTCTGGTAATAAAGATAATAGAATAATAATCCTTGCATTTGATAACACTTTATCATGTCTTTGAGACATCGCAAAGCGCTTCACAGAATATAATAATAATCCTTGCATTTGATATAGCGCCTAATCACTTCTTCGAGACGTCTCAAAGCGCTTCATAATTTTCATAATGATAATTACAGAATATACTGTGAAGTGAATTGACTGTATATTTTGTGGACGAACCGTGGCATCCAATTGCTCACAGCAGTGTCCCACAAACAGTCGTGGATTGAGTGACCAATTTATTATTTATTTTTTGAGAGGATTATCACCCCAGAAAAGCGATCTACCAATCAACTAACAATCTTTTTAACAAAAGATCTCATTGCACTGTTGTATTTTGAAGAAGGCTAGAAGATTCTCAGTTTCTTGGCTAATAATCTCCACCATCAAAATTCATCACATAAAACCAGACGTTCATTCATCGAATTGCTATGTGTGCAATGTTGCTGCCAGAGATTATTTACTGCATTTGCCTGCAAACTTCTACTACCTTTTAATGTAACTCATTGTTTCACGTGTTTGTTTGAGAATTTTCAATGTGTTTAGCTGCTGTGTCAAACAGAAATATAATTTCATAAAAGCTTTGCAAAACTCCTTATGTGAAGGAAAGTAAATATTACCTTCAGCAATGCAGTGCACCTCCAGCTAACATAGCTGCCTGGCATCCACCCACAAAACAGTCACTGCACTTTACAGTATATCCTATGAAGCACTTTAGGACATCTTCGTAATGTGAAAGGCACTATACTAAATGTAATGATGACGAT